TTCAACCCATTTTCTTCTAACGGTTACAGCATTTTAAGACTTCCAATACTCTTTTTGTTATATAAGAATAAAGTATCACTGCCGACACTTGAGATTGAACATAGATCGTCAGTGAGCAAACACAGGCGATCCCATTATTGAATTAAGTAGACCATGTGACCATAGAAGAAACGCATATATGTAGGAAGTAGCTGACGACCAACGATCGCTATTTCTAGTCTATCCTCTATTACTATACGGATCTCCATTTCTAGTCTATCCTTTATTACTGTGCGGACCGCTATTCTATTCTCTATTCTATTCACTATACTATTTCTTTATTCGGATCACTAAACGGATTACTTATTGAACGAGTCTTATCGAGTAAGTACTATTAGTGCGAGTGATATTCGAAGACATCAGGTCGTATTCGAGAATTAAAAATGTGTGAACATTTCAGTAAATTAAAACCTATTTACTACAGGAAAATTAAAATTCTTAAAAATGTTGAATCGATTCTCTAAAAGCAGACAGAACGAACAACCATTATACAATTTGTAGAAACAAAATCCTAAAAAGAAATCTCTTGTTCGCATACAAGAAAAAAACAACAACACAAAACAGAAAAACTTTGTCAATCATTTCTAATGAATCATATACAAGAGAGGGTATTGTCACTACTGGTGTTGATGTCATTGCCCACTTACTCATATATATATATATATATATATATATATATATATATATATATATATATATATATATATATATGTATATATGGGCAGTGGAACGAGAAGGGTCTACCCTGAAGATTAAATAAAGGCTCAGTTTGGAATTCTCTGTAGGCCGGGGCGTAACGACCAAATCGCTGTCATGGCAACAACAAAGACGAGAACAATAGTCCGCATGTATATATATATATATATATATATATATATATATATATATATATATATATATATATATATATATATATATATATATATACGTTGATAAGGGACTGAGACCAAAAGGATTGATGATTCTCACATTAAAATCATTAATGTGCGTTGGATATGAAATTTAACACAATTGAAAAAAAAATTTCAATATCAAATAATAATGGCGAAGGCTACAGAAGTAGGCGAAAATTTTATAATTTACCCAAAAACTTTATTGTTCTCGACATGTCAACTAAATAAATTGTTTATTACTCTATTACTAATTAACACTCTGGGAAATTGCTTTTCAGATACTGTTTATATCTATATATGTGTGTCCATCTGTATGTTTTATTTATCAGTTAGAACAAGTTTCGTCAAAAAAGAAAAAAGAAAAAGAAAAAAAAAGCCCGCTGACTCATAAGGTTATGACCTATATTGTATAAATCATAAATATCTATTATTTTTATACACTGTAAATGTGCGTGCATACACACAAGGAATGGTATTTCATGACTACTTCGTATTTGTATGATTCAACCTGAGAATTCATGACATGTGACATATACAAACACCGTGTTCTGATTTATGGAACTAAGGCTTCACTGATCGTCGTAGGAAAAAAAAACACTACGTATCGAGGGTTTTGTGAATGTTCTCACAAATATATTTTATTTTGAGTGCTACGGACAGATTCTTCTTCTTCTTCTTCTTCTTCTTCTTCTTTGTGCCCCGTCCTTTCAGGATGTGTGTAATCATAACTCTCTAGAATCTCTTATCCCTTGTAGCCCTTAGCAACATTTGTCCCTTTGTCAAGCATCCCACTCACCGTTTCGCCATCTATTCACAAGAGATCGTTAGCTAGGTGGCCTGCTGCCCTGTACTTTTTATCTTCGATATGTCCCGTGAGTGTCAAATTCTTCAGACCTCATGTCTCATTTTTGTCCAAGAAATTTCCAAGAAGCTTTCTGAGTAAGGTAGATTAGGAAAAGAGTTAAAACTTTAAGGAAGCCTGTGTGCAAAATTGGGTTAATTTCGTTATTATTGTTATTATTATTATTAATAATAATAAAACCCCTCAAGAAGAGGAAGTATCTCTGGTCCGAAGTAAGATAGTAAATTAGTTCTTGAAAAAGGCATGAAACCTTCAATTAAAGGATAGCTCAAAAGATTTTCCTATCACACACACACACACACATACACACACACACACACACACACACACACACACACATATATATATATATATATATATTTGGTTGGATAGATGTGAGTTTGTGACCCTGGGTTTCACGCTTTAGCGATCGTCAGACAAACGCTAAAGCGTGAAAACCCAGGTCACAAACTCACATCAATCCAACCAAATATGTTAGCTCTATCTCTGATATTGAGCGCTTTCTAATAAGTCATGCATATAATATATAAATAATTATACATATATATATTTATTTATATTTATATACACTTTTCACACACACACACACATATATATATATATATATATATATATAGAGAGAGAGAGAGATAGCGTTCAAGCATGAAACAGACTGTCGCCATCTGGTATTGCGCTCTGTGTCCCCACTGGTTAATTTATATACGCTCTCTCTCTCTCTCTCTCTCTCTCTCTCTATATATATATATATATATATATATATATATATATATATATATATATATAAACATAAAATATATAAACATAAATATATAAATATATAAACATAATATATATATATATATATATATATATATGTATATATATATATACATAAAAATGTCTTAAATAATTTGTCCATTTCATAATGTATGACGTCATTTGTTTACATTTGGATACACATTGAGCAGATATGAATGAAAGATAAAATCATTGTGTGTAAAAACAGTAAAATTGACTTTGCTAATCGAACGCTTCTCTGTGGCCCAATCGGTTAAGGCACGTCAGTCTATATGACGATTCCGTATGGTTTACAGGTTCGATTCCTGTCGGAGGGCGCATATTTTCTATGAAAATTTCTCGGACATTCAGGCCGGTAAATGTTGTTAATACTGTTTATTATAAACAGAGCATTTACTTGAATATCTATAAAAACAATGTATAAACATATAAAATGTTATATATATATTCATGCCGGTGGGTTAAATAATTTAAACGTATTATGTCTATTTGTTTTAGTTTAAATCCTTTCAAGTTGGTGGCTGTAGAAAATTAATCAAGAAAAATACAAAAATTTTCTTTCAAATAATTTTTATTTTCCCAAGTATTTTCAATCTCATCTGAGACCATTTTCAGGGCGTTAAAATATCTGTCGATGTGTAAACAGTAGCTCCGCAAATTCAAAATAATTTTTTCAATGTTCGTTTACACTACCGCGTTTCAAATTCAAATTCAAAATTTTCAATTTTACATAGGTGGTAACTTTTGTAATAAAAAAAAAAGATAAAGAAAAGGAAAAAGATTTTAATTATAATATTTTAATTTAGTATTTTGTATAAAACTTTGCTGCTACAAACATTTAAGAATTATTGTTATTGACTAAGAATTCGAGATCAATTTTATGGTTACTATATTCTAGTGCTTCTACATATTTGCCTTTATGTTTATCAAAAATGTCCTTATTGCTAGAGTTGGTGGGCTGGTCCGACTTATGTAAATTATTCAGTATTCTAGGTTGGATTGTTTGTTGATGTATTTATGATTGTATAAATCTTTAGTATATAGTGTATGAAACCTATTAGATAAGTCAAATGTTACATCCAGAAAATTGATTATTTTAGCATTAGTGGTGGTGGTAATACTCAGACAGTGGTCTTTGAAACCGTCAAAACAACAACTCCCTCGCAACTAATAATTGCAATTACAGAAAAAAAACCCTGCCCATTAAACGGTAAATGTATGTCCAAATCGTTAGTTTATAAAGCTGAAATCAAATATGACAACGAGCTTAAGTTTTAAGTGGGCTCTACGTAAAACCATTAGAAATCTCGATTCTATCACCACCAAATGACATCAAGCAATGTCAAATATAGCAACAGCACTGCCTTCTCTAAATTTTCTGGAAACTGAAAAGCGAGAATAAAAACTCAATTATCATCTGTAGCGAAACAAGCCCTTCAGCGGTAAAAAGAACAGATATAAATTATTTTTTTCTGAAAAATTAATAATCCTGAAAAATATAAACAATCCTAATCTCTTAAACAAAAGAAGTGAGTTAATGAGCACCTGCCTACCTAGAACTAAATTTCTACTCAAACATGTTGTCCCAGATTATTATAGTATAGTTTAATCGCGTGCGAATTAGTAGGGCTGAGGGTTTATCTTTATAAACGCGTAGTTATACTGGAAAAGTCAGACGGGAGAAATTTCTTGAAGAGAGAGGATAGAATTGGCCCGGGCGAGCGTTGGGAGGAGGAACGCCACTATAACTTTAAGCCCCGCACAGAAATCTTTATCCCTCCATCGTAAGAGTCATATATCGTTCTGAGACGATTTAACAACAAGATAATCACATACACTCTCTCTGTGTCTAGAATCCAGTGTATGAGTTTTTTTTTTACTTTTCATTTCTGTAACCCGTTTCTTTTCTCTATTATTCTTTTCTGTTATATAAAAGACATTACCAATTCCACCATTGAATCGATGTTTGTCCGGCTTTCTGCAGATATTATTTTTTTTTGCTGCATTCTAAATTTCTTAGTGCAGACATCTCAGCCGTGTCTACATCTTCAGTCGACCGTGAATGGACGGACATCACTTCTGTTTTCTGGATCAAACAAATCACAACGTGGGCAGAGAGATTAAACATTAATCTAAGGATGCTCAGGGGACCTATGGCCACTCCCTTAAGTTCGGTTAGGACCGAGTAGACACCTCAACCCCGAGAGTAAGACGCCGAAGTTTGAGGGGCCGGGGCGAAAGTGTTAGAGACCAAGTTTTAGGGAAAATGGAAGCAAGAAGGACACTTATACTTAACACTAGGAGGTAATAATCGAAATTTACAGGTTACATAATCAGTAAAGAGGGCTTGGAAATTTTGATACTCACAGGACAGATTGAGAACAAGAATGGCAGAGGCAAACAACGCATAACCTGCCTAGAAAGTTAATTGAAATGCCGGTTTCCATGCGATCACCGAAGTTAAACAATGTCGATCCTAGTCAGTATCTAGATGGGTGACCGCTTGGAAATACCAAGTTTTGTTAGCTTGAATGTGCGGGTGTGTAATTGATAATAGCTCGGAATTTTTATTCGAAGAGCTGAATTCCAGTTCCATTTGGGTTCTTTATATTGACTTAAGCAAAAATACTCTTGGGAATGGTATGAATCCACCTCTTCTTCCTCTAACTATGGGTTAATTAATAAAACTATCACTAAACCATTATTTATCTAAACTTTAGATAAATAATGATTTAGTGATATAAGTTTTTAGCTTTTAGTACTGGCTTTAGTACTGTAAATGATTTGCTACTAAATAAAAGAAATTCACTAGATATCACCAAACGAGGGGATTTAAGACAGAAGCTAACTAAATTTGTACCAAATATAAAATCTCTTTGCAGCAGACATCAAGCACAAAGTTCTCACTAATTTTTTTGAAGTGCATCCTATTTTTTTTTTATTTAGGTAGACGCATATGAAACCTTCGATTTCTTGTAGTTTAATAAAATGAAATAAAATTTTCTGCTTTTTTTACCTGTGAATTTTATTTTGTCTGCTTATCAATATTGAAAACCTACTGAAGTTTTCAAATCTTTTTCTCATCAGATACATTAACAGAACCTGTAGGGGTAGCATAGCTGGTCGGGGCAAGATCAGAATATAAATGCAGTATCAATGGGTTTAATTCCAAGAAGCTCCATCTGTTATATAATTTCACTATGTGGGGGGGATATTTAAAAGCAATTTGGTGGAACTTGGTCCAGAAAAGTTTGAGAAACACTGATCTAAAGAAAGAAAAAAAAAACCTTAAAATCTAAAAAGTATCTTCTGGTCTTAAATAACATGCAAAGGGTGGATAAGCTGTAGGAACTGGAGTCCCAATTACGACGAAAACTAATGAGAAAATATAATTTGTCAACATTCAGAAAAATAATCCTTTTTTTCTGTTTCGTTGTTGTCCCCTATTTAATTATTTTAATTCTGATTCTTTGCAGCAGTTTAGCTGTAAAAAAGGAAAGATAACGTCAGCTGTTACAATATCCTGATGCTGAGGAATATATTCTATTGTCGTTGAATGTTTAGTGTAAATCCTAATTAATTTCCATCGTGTGGCGTAGAGATTTTTCCGTGCTAGTCTAGTCATTTATGGATCGGGGATTAGTAAATTAACTTCTAGGGTTGTTAAAATGTTTTCGAGAAGTGTATAAAACGTTACACACACCGTAGCTAGCAAGATATAGCGAGAAGATTGATTAATAATCTTGAATTAATTTTTTTTTTTCTTTAAATATTATATTTATATTATATTATATTTTCTTTATATATTATTTTTATAAATATAAAAATTATTATGTACGGCAAGAGTGTATTGAGGTTGACGGGAAACACCTAATTCTCCCAGCAACTATGGCAGAGAAGGGAGGTAACAAAAATAACAGCCTCGGAAACTACAGAAATTTGAGGAACAAAAATACCGACGAGACGGACTTTATAAGACATTGTATTTTTCCGATTGCTGGTCCCCCCCCTTTTATTGGCATGGGGCTACCCTGTCGTTATTTTTCATGTAAAAAGTCCAGACGCGTCACATTCTCTAGTTCCCTAACTTCATACCATTACATCTCAGACTCGCCATGCCATGTCTACAGGCACGAACTTTATAGTACATATTCCTCGCTTTTACAATCTTGAGCTCTTCAAATCTAGGATCAAGCGTTACCTATATTATATATATATATATATATATATATATATATATATATATATATATATAATCTCCACGTACTTCTTACTTCCCTTACCTACACTGATACAACAGTACAACAGCCTCATTTAGTTATCTAGTTTGAGTAGTTTCAGGTTCTTTTATTGGGTGACCATTTAGTATATATATATATATATATATATATATATATATATATATATATAGTTAAGTAACGAAAATCTTGGTAATCTATGAATAATCCCAAGGAGGGTGAAATTAGGAGAACTCAATGTTAAGCCAGAGCGAATAATTTGATTTAAAGAAAAAACAGACCACTTTAAGGTTCCACTAGTTATAATTTATTTCACCAGAGATTTTATTTTTCTCTGGATCTTCAAACTTCACTTTCAAGGGTGACAAAATGAATTTAAAATTTATATATATATATATATATATATATTAAAGGTAATAAATCCGTTGGTATATAATCCAAGTGGATCCTAGTAATATAAAATATTAAAACTGATCCACAAAAAGAACTCATTGTATTTATTATTACAGAGCCCATAAATAGTATTACATAATAAAATCCAAAATTACCTTATATGGAGAATGAACCTATTTCAACTGATGAAAATTTCGTCAGTCTTATTCAACTCTGGTATATAGACTGGTTTATACTACAGTCTGATAAACATTGGTTGTGTTAGAGGCTACAAACATTCATCCGGAAGGTAGCCCTTTGAAGGGTAAATAGTATTTTATCTTTTTGCAAAGGACAAAGTCAATGTATTCTCTGGCCCCGCAGATAGAGCACCACATTTATTTTGCAGGTAAGTATTGAAGACCCGGGAAATTTTTTAGGACCCTTCTTTTTTAAGTGAGTATTTACACTATTAAAAAATACATGCAGAATATTATTCCAATCATTGTTGTTATCAAAACGTTTCGCTCATTGTACCGCCCAGCCCTCATAAGGTGTATGCCAATCCGGGTAACGTACGGGGAATTTTGAACTGAACACATTATTTAATCTACGAGGGTATGTGTAGTTCAGGTTACACCTGTAGGTTATAAGGATCGATATACACCTGATGAAATTCGAAGTGCACAACGGTCGAAACACTGAAACAAACAACAAAGATGATGACATTAGTCCACATATAAATAGTGTAAATAATGATAACTAGTCAATACAGTGAAGTCTCTATTCATCTCTCTCTCTCTATCTATCTATCTCAATCTCTTCATATCTATCTATCTATCTATCTATCTATCTATCTATCTATCTATCTATCTATCTATCTATCTATCTCAATCTCTTCATATCTATCTATCTATCTATCTATCTATCTATCTATCTATCTCAATCTCTTCATATCTATCTATCTATCTATCTATCTATCTATCTATCTATCTATCTATCTATCTATGCGTGTGTGTAAGCATGTAAGTGTGTGTGCATGTATACGTGTGTGCTTGGCTAACATTAATTTGTAAATATAGACATATGTAAAGTAAACATTCAGGGTTGGTTTCTGTTTTGTCCTGTCTCAAGACAGGGCACAGTGTAAACCAAAATGTCCTTCCTTCTTTAACCAAAGGGGTGGGTCAGTGGTGTCAATATGACGTCTTTGCAGCTCCAACCTCGTGGACTGGACAATTTTTAACTCTACCCACAGTCACACATATAAACCAGAGCTTGTATTGAATTTGCCTTCTACGAATTGGGCGGGGCGCGTTTATATCCTCACCTTAAATGCATTTAGCTGACATTTAAATTTATATCAGTATTTACCTTTTGTATAAACGCAGAAATTATCATCGTCACTTCTCATAATTTCCACTTAAAGAATGCAGCAATCTTATAAAAGTATTCAAAATATGGCGCCTTGGAAATGATCCTATTGTCATAATTTCTATACACCTCGATTCGTCCATCAAGAACTCATAAAAATGAAGAAAAAAGAAATAATGGAAAATGAAAAAGATTTCTGCCTGTTGGCCCCAGTTGAATACAGTAATTGGTTGTTGCGATGTTGGGAGACATGTTATTTAGTACACTTATAATAAATAATTGCTGGATGTCTTCATGGTACATAATAAGATTACAAAACTCTAAAATGGAATGACTTGGCCTGTGACTCCTATGAAGTTTATGAATATATAAGTAAGAATAAGTATAAGGAAAAATGAGTGCGCAGTGCGAATACATGTACATATATGTGTGTGAATATATGTATATATTAATATATTTACGCGAATGCATACACATGTAGATATACTCACTACTACTACTTCTTTTTCTTTTTCTGTGTGTGGTGTCTCTTCAGAACGTGAGCGATCGTGGCTCTCCACAACTTCTTATCTTTTTTAGCTGTCTTTTAACCCCCCCACCTTTTTGCATTATCCACTTACACAATTACTCGCTGTTTCCCTCTTTCCCTTTTTTATTTTAATTATTTCACCCCAAGCAAGGCGATAATGCCACTAAGGCGCAAGGGAGTGAAAGAATGAGAGGGAAAGAGAATGAGAACAATTTCGTGATTGATTTATTCATTTTCTACAGCTTATCAACCATTTGAAGGTTATTTAAAGCCAGAAAAATATTTTAGCTTGTAAGGTTTTTTTTTTTTGTTTAGACAATAAGGGTTTAGTGATACAAGTATTACTAATTAACCCATAGCTGGAGTAAGAAGAGATAGATTCATGCCTTCCCCAAAGGTATTTGCGCCTAAGTGAACAACGAATCCAACGGGAATTGGAGCTCGGTTCTCCGATTAACAATTCCGAGCCATTATCCATTATACCACAACGCACATCCAAACTTACAGCTCCTGATATTCCCAAGCGGTCACCCATCTAGGTACTTACCAAGTTAGACGTTGCTTAACTTTGATGATCGTACGAGAAGCACTTTACAAAGGACAATAGAAGAACAGTTTCCAGGAAGATGGCGAGTGGCGTTGCATTTACGTCTTTGAGGATCGTAGGTGACAGAGAGGCAAGAAACCATAAGAGAGTTCCACAAGTGAAAAGTGCGAGAAAAGAAACTATTAGAATAAAACTTATGGTTACATCTAACCAGTTCAACAGTAAAAGGATGAGTCCTAAATTCCAATCTAGTAGTACGCTTAATATGCCCTGCGTGTGCTAAATTCTCCAAGTCCTCTTTCCTCATTATGTGCTCTAGAAATTGTGCTTCTGGTATCGGGTCTACCAATTTAGTAACAGCTAAAACTGAAAAGAATTTAAACTTAAAAATCTATTACTAAACCAAAAACAATAAGAGATTTAATTAACACAAAACAAAATAACAACAAACTTAAACCGTAAG